TTCTGAAATTGATAATAAATACTTTATTTGATATGGTTAATAAGCTGCCATATTTTTTCATTAATCTTTGGAAACAATTTTTTAATTTTATTTTTGTTTATCACATCTCTGAATTAAACATGAAATACAAGCTTCAACACCTGCCTGTTTAGTAGGAATTTAGTCATAATATTTACAATTTGTTAATTTATTTTTTATTTTTTCATTTATAATATGAAAATGGTAGATTAAATTGACAATAAAAATATCCTTTATATAAAGAAATATTTATAATAGAAAATCATAAATTTCTGGCAATTTAACATGTTACATTTTGTTATGAAACTGATTTTTTTTAGAGCTACACAGAAAAGTAAATTAGGTTTCTCACTGGAGATTTTTTTCCAAAGATAAATCAGAGGTTGTTGCTAATTTAAAGAAAAAAATTCTTATAATTTCATTTTTATTAAAAACATAAATTATCTGTTCACCAGATTTCTTCATTACTTTGAATCATGATTAAATTTGCGTACATATTTAGTTGGGAAACAATTAAATTCTCAAATGCATTTGATGAATTTCTAATATAATTTGACCAAGTTTCATCTTTTGTATATAATATTATATAAAGTGAAATTTGTCCAACGAGGAAAATGACATCAATGCAAAATAAAAAGTGTCTCAAATATAAGTTGAATTTTGTAAAGTAACTTGTTAATCCCTGTGGTGTCTAAAAAGGGGTTATATGCTCTTGAGAGAATGGGGAGTAAGAAAATGGCAAAGACGCATGAAATTGTAGTACCACAACTGAATCTGGATTCCATAGCCACTAGCTACCAAACAGTTAAGGAGTGGATAGAAATAATGCAGAATGTATTTAATGGTAATGAATACAAGAAAAACAAAACTTTTGTGGTGTCAATGAATACTCATTGTCACTTTCATGATGCTCATTGTAGTAGACACTTTGTAATCACAGATACAACTATAGTAACACCATTGAACAATAGTTATGTCAGGCATGTTTGAATAACACTTGCACTAATAGTACTTTCTCATTAATACTTGCTTGAAAAGTAACCACCGAATAAGGATAACTTAGACGCCATGCTAATTCCCATATATACATTTCATTTACCATCACATGATCTACTTATACAAAATGGGATTGACTGTGTTTGCTCTCTTGTGATCTGTGTTCAAACTCCTGTGTTGGCAGTGACCCTTTATTCCTATATAACAAAAGAAATCAGGGTGTGTTTGAACTTGGAAAAAGACAAAGAAAACTTCAGCCGATGGAAATGAGACTTATGAGGAAACCCTGGCTCTTTTGAATGAATATTTTGAAAGCAAAAGAAACCTAATGTACAAAAGACACCAATTTCGATCCAGAATGCAGGAACATAAAGTGCAGTGACATACATTACAACTTTGAAAAATCAGAGCATGTACTTTCAAATTTAATGAATATTCTGCAGATGAGGCAGTAGCAGAGCAATATATTGAAAAATGTTTGTTCCAATGTCTTAGACAATAATTGTTAAAAAAATGTTTTTCCTTAAGCTCTCAAAAAACAAGTGTGTAGAGGAGTATTGTGGTGTATAAAAGGAGGTTATCTGTTCTTGAGAGAAGTGGGAGAAAGAAACACAAAACTCAAATTTCCCAAAACAAGAAAGTTGGCACTTTAGATGCCTAATAGAAGGTGGTGGATGTTTGTTTATTTAAAGAAATATTGTAATCTCCTTGAGCATATTAAGATCACTTTTTTTAATTAATTTTGCACTTTTCCCTTGAGCCCAAATAAGAAGCACTAATCATTATAATTGGATCAAGTTTTTACTTGCTTGCTTTTATGATTGAATTGTTTAAAAAAAAAATGTTCAGTGTTCATTTGATTCTTTCCAGAATTAGCACATTCTCTTTTTTTGATAAACATAATGTTTCTTTTTTAAATTTTTGACATTTTAAATGATTCTCCAACTTCAACTTTTGCTCAGATACCCTGTTTATTGCATACTGAAATAATCATTTAACCCCCACCCCCACAAATTGTTAACTCCTTGCTCTGTATTAATCATCTGAGGATCTAGTAAAGGGCCATACAGTCTTCAGTGCTCATATCTCTAGGCATATGATTTCCAACAGGGGGCTGTGATAGACTGGTTACCAATCAAGTCTATAGGGTCCAGTCTACCTGTGAACCTATAGTTGGGTGTAGAAGAGATGGATTCATGCCTTTTCCAAGAAAGAGAAGAAATTCATATATTTCCCAAGGGTATTTGTATGTAAATGAATGTAATGAACCTGACTAGAATTTGAACTAGGTTCTCTGATTCTGACATGTTATTCATTATACCAAAAAACTTGAAAGCACATTATATAACAAAGAATATATTTCTTAGTTCTTGTACCAGTTTCTTAAAGTACTATATTTCTCAGTATCAAATTTTCATCTTGTTCTTATGTGCCATGTGCTTTCAGGACGTGGATGATCATGGTTCTCCACTACTTCCTGTATTTTACTACTATAAGTAGCATTAGATATCTACTGGGCAGGTAGCTGTAACAAAATGACATAAAATGAAAACAAAATACATAAAGTGTGAGTTATTTATTCCATAGATTAACAGAAGTCTGGATATGGAAAATGTACATCTTTCATTAACAACAAAGCACAAGTTCAAATATCTACATTTTTTACAAAGCAAAGTCCTACTTACTAACTGGCTGGAGAGGAACATTTCTCTATTAGGGTTTGTGATGCTATGAAAATGTGAATAAAAAAAGAAGAGGTTTCTTTTTGAAAATGTGTGTGGTTCTACTACATATATCCACTACAGCCAATCATCTGTGGCTCTGATCAGGAGTTGCGACATTTTGTGTTGTGTGAAATCATCTCTTGATTGGTGTTGTTTCCAGGTTTACCCTGACCAGAGGTGGTAGCACCTGTTAGGGTTCCATCTATAGGCAAATTGAACCCCCAAACAAAAACAAAATAATATGAAATTATAAAAATATATTTTTATATTAAAATAACAGCAATACTTGTTTATATATAAAAATGACCAACAAAAAATATTTACAGTAAAATGACCAAAAATACATTTTATCTATAGTTGAAGACATACTATTGCATTCAAATATATTTAGTACAAGCCATAAAATTGTAAATATATTTAGATTTTGGCATTAAATAACACACAGAGGCTGATATGCCACTAGACAAAATCAACAAACTACAACATAAAACATACATATCACCGCTTTTAGAAATGATATCCACACAAACATGTATATGCACAAAGTATCTGAATATCATCTACCATGTATTCAATTATGAAAGTGGAATATCATCATATTTTTATATTTGTTTAATGGCATATCAACTCCTTATGAGTCATTGAATGCCAAAATTTATTATTCTTTGGAACTTTGAAGTAATAAAAAACAGAATTTTTTGCCTTCCATCAAAACAGTTGGGGTTAATCTATAAGGCAGTAACTTATTGTGCCTTCTTGGGCTAATGTTTTATATTGACATGAAATGGAATGATTATATTTGGTCAATTGATTGGTCTGCTGCCTGGAAAATTTTTCACTGTGTTGTTCTTGATTATTTACTTTTCTTGTCGGAATCTTACATATAAGTATGATTCATTCATTGAATATTGCTGCCATCTATAATGGGGGAGCTACTGTCGGGGATTCAGGAGCAAGTACTTTTGCTGAGTTAGAAGCCATTGTTTAAATACATGATAAATAACATAACCAGAATTAATAAAGATTGCTATGAAAAAAAAAAACTGCAAAAAAGATGAAACAGCAACAATCATGCAATCAAGTAAATGATATAATTAAAGGAAATCGGTATCTAGCCCCCCCCCCCCACGAGGGTTGCATGTGGCACAAGGCCGAGTTTATCGTGGGTTTCCCGAGCCCGTAGGCTCAGCCAAAAAAAATGCCCGTATAACCAGTATAAACGAGATTGGGTTGGTCATTTTCCCCGAACGAGATTCTGCCCTTCGGCGGAACCTCGTCCGGGTTCCTTTCTGCTCAGAGGCAGAAAGTTCGACCGTCAAGTCGAGAAGCTCGGCTTGAATGATATAATTAAAGGAAATCAAAACTGATAAGAAGGCAAAAGAATTCACAAACTAGGAGTAGGTGTTTGTACACAAAAGCAAGGTTGACTAAGCAAACACAGTATGTCTGTCTAGTAGTTAAGGCAGATCTGGACAGATTCATGTGAAAACACAAGCCATCTCATTTTATTAGCTAAGAAAAATATCCCAGCATGCATTCTGTGTCTTTCTGACTATAAGGGAGGGGAAAAACTTTTTCAATCATTCCCACTCTCTTTGGGAAATCAACAACTTTTTTATGAGGTGGTAGGGTTTATCTTATGCTTTCTTACACATCTAATTCCCAGGTAAAGATCTGGAGATTCATACCTTTTTGAAGTTATTTCCTTAAAGCTTAAAAATAATGACTGTTTGCTTTGATTCTTGAGCAACCTGAAGGAATAAATAGTAAATTAAAATGGTTCTTTTCAGAGTGTGGGTAAAAACCTTAGATTTTAAAATATGTATATAAACATTACTAAACCAACATTAAAAATGATTGCCTTCAGCCGTGACTGCAAAAGACAATTGTAATAATTCCACCGCAGGTTACAGTGTATAAATAATGGTTCTTCAAAATGCCATGTAGAATCAGTTATTGCTAAATAAAGCATCTGAAATTCAACAGAATGATTTTGTATTTCTTCTTCAAATTAATGCTTGCCTTTGGCTCAATGGAACTAAAGAATTCATGCTATATTTACATTTATTTTCAAAATACTCAGAAAATTTAAAAAATCCAAAAGAAATCCTTTCAAAAATCTTGAACATGTGTTTTTTTAGCAAGAGTGCACATTTTGAAAAGTTATCTTTTAGCAAGTGTGTGCATTTTAACTTTGACTGTTATGGCTGAATCATAAAATTAGTGAAGTGAGAATGGTTTTTTTTTTCTTTGCTTTTGTAGCCTTTCAGAATCTGACCGCCGAATCCAAGAAATCATGAACCGTGTCATGTCTCGAGGAATTTCACAGAAAACAGAAATGTTCCAAGAAATATCTGGTGAGGAAGATCTTTCAGGTAATTGTCTTAAATACAAAAGACTTTGTTAGTCTTGTTTATATACAAAGCAAAATTACTATTTTCATTAGACTTAAATTTGGCACACACAATTATTGATGATTGCAATACAATATCAAGACTATGCTACATTTGTGCCAAAAAGAAAAATGTCATTTGGACATGAATGTGATGAATATTAGAGTTATTGCTTATAATTTGTATTTTTTTTTTTAACTTGCTCTGATATTACTTCATCCTTATAGGCTTATGGCCATATCATTTTGAGCTGCAATTTTCCATATGATCAACGAAGTTAAGCAATGTCAACTCTAGTCAGTACCTAGATGGGTGACCACCAGGTGCTGTAATCTTGGATGTGTGGGTGGTGTAATGTATAATGGCTCAGAATTGTTAATTGGAGAGCCAAGTTTCAATTCAAGTTGAGTTCATTATATTCACTTATGCACAAATACCCTTAGGAAAGATAGGAATCCACCTCTTTTTCCACTAGATATGGTTTAATTAGTAAGACTTGTATCACTATAGTTTAATTAGTAACACTTGTATCACTAAATCATTATCTCAGCAAAAAAAATTCTTACAATCTAAAAATATTTTCTGACTTTAAAAAACCTGCAAAGGGTTAAGCTGCAGAAAATGAATCAATCAGTTGGTCTTTCTAGAGAAAAGTTACATCAGATTGTTACTACATTGTTTTTGAAATTATGAGTGTATTTCAAGCAGTATATTACACCCTTGTGCAAATTAATTGAAGCAAAACAAAAAAGTAAATAATAACAGATTTATTTACTTTTTTCATATTTTTCCAATGAAACATGACCCAGTGCACATGTTAGTACATCGTATGTCCATTACACAAAGTTGTTCCTTGCCGATTGACTACAGATTCTAGATTGGATTTAAATCAGGAGAGTTTCCAGGCCAGTCTCTAGTACTTTGAGTTGCTCACTGGTAAGACTTGCCAGTGTGTTTGTGCAACATTACAATTTTCGTACGCTCCCTTGGAGTAATGTCTATTGCAGATATTGGCTATAGGACAACTAACTGACAGTCAAAACAACAGTGTCTGAGCATGATAAAAATCAGATGCAATCACAGATAGCACAATTTAAAAATTGAATTTTTGTTCCTTTCTTTTATTTATAATAAAATCCCAGTTGACATTAGGCAGTCCTATATAAAACCTCCTTTTATATCAAATGTAGTTTATTGTCATACCCAGGATGGAAAACTCACAAGGTTGATTGAAATGTGTTTAATGCAAATGTTGTGAAATCCTGAGATACATCTCCAAGAAATGACAAATACTTCACATGAAAGTCAAATGTAAGGTTTTAGCATTGCTGAAATTTTCTGTGACAATAATATTGTCCTTTCTCTTCTGACATTTATTGTGATAGGAAATGTGTTTTGAAACTTCATTTCATAATTAACATGTTGGGAAAATCACTAGTTAATATTTCGGTACCTTTCATGTTTTGAATATCAGTTTATGGAGTTTTGTGCAATAAATGGTTGTTTGCATGTTCATATTACATTGGGGTTACTAGCTGTGCTGTAAGAAAAGGAATATTTCCAATTTGCATTCCCCTCATTATGGGCATTACTTATACCCATGATATAACAGCACATTAATGCACATATTGAATGTTATTGTGGAAAAAAAAAGAATGACAAACTTGATTTGTTCTCAGAGAGAGTTTTGCAATGCTAAGTCATATGCAAAATTATATACTAACATTTACACTTGTTCCACACAGAGAGTACATGTATGCAACAACAAGCAGTGTGAGAAAGGTGAAGTGATAGTCTGACTTGTGATAATTCCCATTGGGTATTCAAAGGATTCTGCTATGTTACTAGAGAAGTCATATTTAGGTTTCTAAACAGGGATTCGAGCAGCCAGATTTATGTTTTTATTTCACTGGAGACTGGAGAGGATATATTTCCCAAAATAAGAAATTTGTATCTCACTGGGTGGCAGGGAATTTAACCTCATCCCAGATGTGCAGATTTAGTCTTTGCCCATAAAAGAAAAACTAATGCTCAGTTTAACTCCTGGAAGCTAACTGATGTCACTAAGCAGCTGTCACTTGACCAACATGATATCATCTCAACCAAGAGGAGATAACTGTGTCTTGCATTACTACAACCGTTTCCTTCATTATATTCTGTCAGTATTAAATTCTTCAAGCCCTCATTTCTCATTGTGCATTTCAGATATTTCAACTCATTATGATTCTAATTACAAGTAACCTTTTTATCTTCATTTTTCTTAAAACTTGCTCATTGTTCACATGTTCCATCCATGGTGTACTCAACTTCCTTCTGTAGAAGTACTTCTCAATCTCTCTTATGTTCATCTGTGAGAAAGAAGGTGGTCCAAATTTGTAAATTTAAGTCCCTCTTTTTTGTGTTTGGTGGGAGTATTAAAAATATAAAAAAAAAATAAAATATATTTAGTTATTAACTCAATGTTCAATAGGAAAAATTGGAAGGTTTTTAAATTTTTAACATTAATATGTAAACCATTTTATAAGTGGGTATCTTGAGATTAAATACACAAAAAATATTTTTTGTTAGCAGCATTAACAGCTAATAGCATTGCCGTTCACTTTGAACAAATTCAAAGAGGTCAAAAGGAAAAGATCTATTAAATTTCATATCCCAAATGCAAAATAAGGCATAATTTGTTTAATACTCTGCAAAACACTGTTTTAAATATGATTAAATAAAAAAGCAATTTCTGATAATTTCTTCTATTCAATAATTATATCTAGATTGGAAAAATTTAACCTGTATCAAATTTATATTGAGAATCTAATAAAAGCAATTTTGAATAATATGCAACTTAAAGTTATCTGCATTTCCTGTTTGGTTTGCTCATTGGAGTTGAATCATGTGTTTTGATTGTTGAAGATTAAAGGAAGGAAAAAAATGGTAGGTTTCTTATTATGAAGTATTTAGATGTCAAGTTTGACAAAGACAGCAAAAAATAATAAATAATCAAGAATGTTTTATATTAGAAAAATAAACTTCATGATAAAATTACAAAGATGATATATTCTAACTGAAAATGTTAGAGATCAACAGGTAATGTTGTCTGTTTATTTTTGACAACAAGCAAATTATGAAACAATAATTGAAAGTTTTGTGCATGTGAAATAAGTCATTTTGTTTGCCTCAAAGAACAAACAAGAAGTTGATTAGAATCTGACACATATATTTCCTGTCCGATTTGAAATTTTATACCTATAGTGATATAGCATAATACACAAGGAGGTTATTTCAAAAGGATTTACAAACATTTTGATATTCTTTATTTTTTCTTTCATTCAATTCTTTTGAGCAAAAATTCTTGTTATAGATATGAGAATGATAGAATATTTCTTTTTTATCATAGAGGAAAACTTTCTTGCTGCTTCAATTAATAATTTTATCTCCTAAAAGTCCATATGTAAATATATTTCCTTCAGAACAAAAAACAATCTGTCAAAAAAATCATTTATAAGAATTAGACAGAAACAGGAAAAATTTAAATATCATTTTAATCTCATGATATATTTTATTAAATTTGTCAACTTTATTAAATGAAGCATTGCCAACCATTATTAATTTTTGACTAGAATTTCTTTCATCTTCATTTTTATTGTCTTTCATTGTGAACTGTTATTAATAATTCTGATGAGAATTTATTTTCACTTTAATTTTTAATAGTTTTTTATCAACATTTACCCAATCTGTCAATGATTGTCAGTCAGTATCGGTAGTCATTGGTGAAGCATATATTCTATTTTTTGATCCTGTGCTGTCTACTCACTGCAGTAAATGGATGGTTTCAGTAAAAGTTGAAATAAAAACCAATGAGTTAAAAATAATTGTTTCTTGTCAGTTTTAAATATATTTTTAAAATTATTGTTAGCTTAAGAATTGAACTTCATTAATTAAACATTTATTTAAATTGTCGTCTTTTTAAAAAAAATTATGCTTCATTGGTTGTATTTTATTTGTATCATTGAAATTAATCATACATAATTTTATTTTGAAATTCATTATAAAATACAAAAAACCTTTTTCTAACATTTCTTTTTGATTGACTGATTTGAATGCAATAAATAAATTATTAGCAAAACAAATAACAAACCCAGAAGGAAAATAACAAATTTTTTTTATTTTTATAAACTTAGAAAAATCGGAAAAATCCAGCCAAAAGCAAGAAATTGTGGAAGAAAAAGAATTGAAAGAAGAAGAGGAAGAAGAAAAAGAAACATTGGTTTCACTTGAATATAGTAAGCTATTATTGTACATGTTTATATGGAAGACTTAGAATTAAACAGAAAGTTTTTATTAAAGAAAAGTATAGTTTTGGCATTAAAAATGTTACTTTTTTCCTTGCAGGAGCTTATGTATCCTTTCAACACAAGAAATAGAATAATTTTGCAAAGCAGTTTCATAATTATATTGTTGAGAACTATTTAATTGATCTGATTATGGAGACATTGAAGTTTTCTTGTAATATTGAACAAACAATTAAAATTTGATTGCCCAGGCAAACTAAATGGGAAAAAAAATACAAACAGAATGACTGAATGTGTGTAGATAGAGTATGTTATTGTATGTACATATATGTAAAATTTTCTACAACAGATTGGAACTTAGATTTCAGGAGGCTTCTGTCTTTATTGCTTTGGTTTTGTGTGTATGCAGTCAAGTATGCTTAGGTTTTGTACACTGCTATTCTGTGTTCACTGTGACATGAGATTCACTGGGAACAAAAACAAAAGGTCTCCTAGAATAAGGTCCCTTTATCCTGTGAGTAACAAACAAAGAATTAATCTTTTGTAACCTTTTTTTATGTACTGATTTGGCAATGTTATCTAATGGTCATGAAGGGAAGTTCTTTGGTAGACAATAAATTTTATTGATATTAAAATTAGTATACTATTGATTGCTTGCCAATTGTGAGCATCAAAATATTTCTCACAGACAAAGATGGACCTTTTTCAGAGTGGATTTATTGCTAAATTTTACCATTTTATGAGAGAGCAGATTAAGATTTGATTTGGGATCTATCTGCACGAGTTAACTTATGAATTCCATTCATATTATGGTAGGATTATACTCTGGCTACTGCCAGAAGTATGTCTACTTATTTTTTTTATGGTAAGATTCAAGCTGTACAAAACCTGGTGTCATTCGAGGTAGAGGGTTAACTCTAGACTTGAACAGGTTAAAACTGTAGTGATTGGGAAACATTCTCTTGGGAGATTGTTCCACAAAGCAGAGGTTTGTGGGAAGAAGCTGTTTGAATGAAACTTACTTCTTGCTGATGGAATACAGAGGGAATATGGGTAGTTTGCTACTAGGTAAGTGGTAGAGCGGGTTCTAGTCATAAAGGTTAGAAGCAGAACCAAGGAATGTAGTTCATCTGAACACTTTCCATGGAAGTTGTGACAGAACAGTGAAAGGCTTTCCACATCCTGCCTGTTGGAGGCTGGAAAATAATTCTTCTCTAACAAGGACTCGGAGACAATTTTGAACTCTATAAAAACTGAAAAGTGAGGTCTATACTGAGTTGTCATGTTATCAAAATTTGATCATCTTTCAATGGAAAATGGCAATAAAAATGGCTAATTTTGAAGCATGCTACAACAGCATGGAAGCTGCCATATTGTCCAGGCTGATTTAATTAAATATACTCAACTACAGCCGATCAATATTATTAAATTTGGTTACAATCAAGTACATGCATTTGGCTGACTGGATTTGCTTTATCTGTCTGGAAATTATTCTTTCATTCACTGCATATGAGAAAATATTGAAAATTGTTATAAAGAACAAATGATTCTTAAAGTTAGTCAAGTAGACGTTTGCTTGTCGGTTTTGATTATAGGAGAGGCATTAGATTTGTGTTTTCTCATTTTCAGAAGATGAAAAAGAAGAAATGACTGGCACTGAAACAGAACCAACAATCAGCGAAGAAGTAAGGAATAAAAATTTGCTATTCTTAATTGATCCGATCTATTGACTTTGCTAAAGGAATTGAAAAATTAATAATTATTTATTTAATGATATATTTTAGTTGATTTTGCTTGTGAAGTTAAATTTAAATTTTCACATTTTCAAACATTTTGGCTCTGGTATAAATGTGGCAGCATTATGAACAGTGAAACTTGTATCAGTTGTATATTGATAGCCATTATATTATTATGCTAAAATATAAATATGCTGGGATCTGTCTACCCAGTTTTTTGTTGCTATCTGAGTGTTGGGATTCCAAACATTTGACAACAACAAATCTTTTCAATGAAGCATAAAAAAAAGTTATTTTCTGAAGAAAAAGCAGAAGTAAAGTATCAGGTGAAATAACATTTATATATACTTTTCAGAAATATATAATAACAATAAAATGTTCCATTTTCCTTGCAGTGAAGTTTGTTTTATAATTAAATGTTCTTAAAGTGATGTGAAATGTGTGAACAGACTTACTTCATGACAGCCTAACGTTTCTGTCAGTGCATCGAGAAGGCTTTAGTTGGTGGTTGCTGTCTCATTTCTTTCATTATGTGCGTACGTGTAAATCAAACAGGTTTCTGAAATTGTTTTGAACCCCAAGAAGTGGCATGCTTCTATTTTCATCTATAAGGAAGGAAGAAAAAAATTAATTTAACATAGAGGTGTGAACTTTTCGAATACAAGATTTTGAATAGTTAGAAAATATTTTCACACTGGCTTGCGAAAATCTTTTTCTGGAATTTGCAGGAGTGTTGAACGGAGTTATTGTTATTTTCTAAATGGTCCAAAAATAAAATGTGGTAGATCTGCAACTATGTCTAAAATGATAGGTCTACAACTTTGTGGTAGGCTTACAACTATGTCTAAAAGTATCATGATAGTAATTGTTATTTATCAAACATAACTTCTGATGGGATATTATTGGTTAAAAAATATATATAGAATCTCATTTCCATAGGTATAATAGCATTATATACAGAGAAAAATTTACAAGCCATGATAGCCATTATATCACTAGAATATATAAATATGATAGAATTATTGTTCATTTCTGACTGCAAAACACCTTCCCACCGACTTTTATAGGTAGAAGTACCCAAATGTATGCTGGGATATTTTTCTTTGCCAATAAAATAGGTTGGCTTGCAGTTTGACATGACTCAGTCACTATCTGCCTCGAAGGCAAAATGCTACATTTAATTTGCTCAAACTTTTTTTTTGTGTGCTGACACCAATTCTTAGTTTGTTAACCTTTTGCTTCCTTACCTGTTAATTTGTTTTGCATATATTGTTTGCTTGATGTTATTTCATTTTTTCCCCATTTCATTTTCTTTTTATTGCAAACGTTATTAATTCTGTTTGTTGGACAGTTGTTATTTATTTTGCATTTGACCATGGCTACTCTCTCCATAATTATATAGAGTGAAACATTTTCCTTTATAGTTCAAATTGTATTCAACAAAGAAAACATAATTTTTCTCTTTCTTAATTTGATGAACCATACTAACTTCAATAACTTTGTAATGTGTGCTATTTGTAAATCTGTATAGTTTTTTATATTATACCAAGTTTTATGCACGGTAATTTTTATTTATTAGTTATCTTTTAGCAGTTTTAAGTGCGATATACGTCATAAGGCATTTTGTCTTTCATTCATATTTGTATTTATTTTTCTTTTTTTCTTTTTAAATGGTTATAAGCAGAAAATAGATTGTTTTTTTCTCTTATTTTCTTTTCAAAATGTAGCCAATTTACATGATTATTTCACATTTTTATATATTTTAATCACCATCATAACATGTACATAGAGTATTTAATTAGTCTGTTTTTCGATCATCATTTTGCTGAAGTAGTGGCATGTGCGATATTACAGCAATGGATCTCGGTATATGGATGCCCCTCCATCATTACAACAGACAGGGGACCACAATTTCAGTCAGTTTTGTTTTCAGAATTTGCAAGTCTGTTGGGTGCAAAGCACATTACAACTACTGCATACCATCCTTGCGCTAATGGACTGGTCGAACGTTTTCACCGCCAGTTGAAAGAGTCTCTTACCGCAGGTACTGACAACCATTCTACAACAGCTTTGGCTGGACAAGCTCAACACTAGTATGGTGCAGATCATAGATTTGATACCTGACAATATTAATTTGCAGAAGTTACCTGAAATAGCTGACAGGATGATAGACAATGAAGCAGCTACTTCTGTCTATGTTGCAACTCAAAAAGATTTATTGATGTCTTCTAGCACAGATGAAATTCAAAATCTTACTGATAAACTCAAGGAACTGTTGACACAAATACAGGAGATCCAATAAAGAATGTGACAGTGAGGAAGACAATTTACAGACTGACCTGTTAGATCAATGCCATGCCAGGGGCACAGATGCAGACCATTGTCATGACACAGACAATGACCAACTTGTTGGTATCATAAGAAATTTTCCTATCATGCGCATAAATGCATAGAGCCATGCAGATATCATGAAGAATTCCAGTCTGGCGAATTAGCTAAACAATCGGGAAATGGTCATCCCAGCAGCAGGTAAAGATGGCGTTCACTGCCAGGGACAAGCACATGAATTGTCTATTCTATGTTAAAGATAATAATACAGGACTCCTATTCCTGGTGGACACAGGGGTGCAAATAAGCATTGTCCCACCAAAAAACAAGTTGCCTGAAAAATCTACGTTATACAAGTTACAGGCAGGAGACACTTTAATTAAATTTGGTCTTACGAAGAAGTCTTACCTGGAAGTTCATGATTACACAAGTCAAGGTACCTATATTAGGCACTGACTTCCTGGTTAATTTTGGCTTTAATAATTCCACGCATATATTAGAAGACACTAATGCTGAAGTTTCAATTTGAGGAATAAAGTTGTCATTAACCATATTTCTACTGCAATACTGGAAGCAAATGGGCTTCGACACTTACTTTGAAAATACCGAGTTATTAACACCTTTTAATTATATGGAACCTGTTTTACACAATGCAAGACATAGCATACATACCAACAGACCACCTGTTGATGCTAACTCACAGTGGTTGCATCCAGAAAAATATAAAATCACTAAGGCGAGGTTCCAACATATGCTTGAACTTGGTATTATCCGTCTGTCATCTTTGTTCTTTACTTCCTTTATGAACTCATCATCAGATGCTTTGTCTGATTATTCCTTTTATTTTTCTTTTAACAGTTATCAGAATAGTGTGTAAGGCAGATAGTTTGTGTAAAATCAGTCCTTGGAGGGATTTGTAACGCATGGCTTATCATCTCTCAGTTGCATCTCTGTCTTTGGGCAGAGTGCACTCAGAGCTTTCTCTGTCAAAGGACAGAGGGAAAACTGAGAAAATTATATTGAGAGGTGCCCAGCCCTGGGGAACAGCTGCCCGAGGCCATGCCCTCCCATTTCACCAAAGGGAGGGGTCAGTGCTCGCACCAAGGCCAGCGCAACTGATGGTTGTGTGGGCTGTGGGTGTTGGGCAATTTTTTCCCTTGCCCGGGTTCACGCACTCGGGTCCTCACTTTAAAAAGACCTTGTGTCACATCTTGTCCTGGTGGGGGAATGAGTAAACACCGTTAGGCAGATTGTTCCTATATTTGTTTTGGTAATTTAACTTATTTCAAGAGTATTTTGTAGTTTATTGTATTTTAATCAACTTCATTGTTTGTAAATAGAGTATTTTTTAGTCTATTTTAATGAATGTTGTTGTGTATTTTATCTTTTGCATTATTTGTATACAGTTAAAACCATGCGGCATGTTTATGAAGACAAAATAATTATTTGAAAATTGAGAATATGTCCATTTAAAAGTTAGCTGACTTGTAATAATGTGAAGAATCAGGTAAAACGATAAAAAATGATAGTTGGGGTGAGTTTGAGTTTTTTCTTCTTCTCCCCCCCCCCAACTTCAAATAAAAAAACAAAACCGTAAATTTTTAGAGTAAGGCACCAAACCATACTTAGGAAATAACATAAAAGTTTAAATTTAAGAACATTAAATTACTTCCTTGGTTATCCTTTGAAGCTAATATCCACTGAAAAAGAAAAAAAAAGCTAGTATACAGATGTTTTTTAAGATCAATCATTAAAAATCATTTTGAGTGAGTGAAATCTGTTATCTTGGCAAAGCATTTCAAATAACTAAACACAAAGACTAAATACTTCAAATAACTCAGTTTATGGATCAGTTATATCAAGTTTAATATAGGAAAAGAGGACATTGAGTCATCAACACCAGGTGTAGTTTCACCAAACACAGCAAATTGCTACAAAACCAAAACATCAAAGTGAAAACTCAAGTCATGTTCTTAAATAGCATTGTCAGATCGAGACCTTCATATGTATCTTATGCATGGCATCAGACCTATTAAAAATATCTAAACTATCAAATGTATAAAACCACTTTCTAAGATCAATTGTTAAAAATGGTTTTCAGTGAGTGAACTTGTGTATCTTAAACTTTGTAGACTAGTGCTACACAATCACAAAGAACTGTACCAATAACAGAAATCACACTACTTGAGGACAATCAACAGAAAGTAATGACATAATCAAGATGCTAACATTCTACATAATTTCAAACAAAAGGTTAGAAAGGAAACCTCCATGTATACTGGAAAGAGCAATAACAGCTACTGGATTTGAGAAATATGTTTTCATGAAAAAAACGTTTAATAGAAAGATTTTATAAATTTCAACTAAAAAAGGTACTGGCTGCTCAGTCAATGCTAAATGTTTCGTCATAAGGAAATGGCTAATATTATCATTACCATTTACAAAAGCTTGTCTGGGAGATTACTTGCTAAGTATTTCTGCTTTCTTACTTGCCTTCAATATGTCTATCAAATTCTCCAAGTGATCTTTCCTCACATTTCCAAGAAATTATAACTGTTACTTTATGATTTTTTTTTTATTCCATTTTCATCAAAACTTCCTTGTTACTCACACTTTTGGCA